CGTTATACCTACCTGAACTTTATACCTACCTGAATGTTCCAGTATTTAGGTCGTGCCACTCCCTGAAACAGTTCTTTTTGACAGTGAAGCACAGAGGGACCTGGCACTTCCTGCAGTACACAGGTGTCTTCACCCTTTTGAGTCCAGCATCTAGGCACCTCCTGCAGTTCTTCCTGACCTTGGTGGCATCTTCCCCATAATACTCGGACATGCATGTGAGTGGTGGAGGAGGGGGAGGAGGTGGTGGAGGTGCAGGGCCTTCTGCAGGGCCTTCAGCAAACTCCAACAATTCTGCAGCAAGCTGCTCCCTGAAAGTCTTCTGGGTGTGTGGCTTTGTCCTGCTGGGGTCACTCCTCATCTAACAAATGTGGAAAAACAAAGAGATTAGATTAATTCACTGGCTTATACTTATAGGATAATATTGGACTATAAATGAATAATATTACACCAAATAAATAAGTAAACACATGTATATTCATTCACTGGCCATTCATTTAGAAAATGTAACTCCAAAAAGACAAGTAACACTATTTAGCATTTTGGCTAATCATTCCTGTTGGCTAAGCTAACACTGTGATGCAGTTCCACCAAACATAAAAGTAATATATAAAAAGGATAATATTGGACCATAAATGAATAATATTACACCAAATAAATAAGTAAACACATGTATATATTCATTCACTGGCCATTCATTTAGAAAATGTAACTCCAAAAAGACAAGTAACACTATTTAGCATTTTGCCTAATCATTCCTGTAGCTTCTTGGCTAAGCTAGCACTGTGACGCAGTTCCACCAAACACATAAGTAATATATAAAAACAGAGAGATTACATACCTTTCCCGTGGTGGAAGTTCAACATCCGAGTCACTACTGTCCGGATCCAGGTCTGGCTGGAGGAGATCTTCATCATCCGACGAAGAGTCATCTGGTATGAGCTATCGTCAGCTAGCATCTCTAGCACCTGCTCGCCTCGGTGGTGAAGCTCTCCCTTCTGGCTGCGTAATGCGTAATGGAGCCGGAGCCAGTGTTGCCAACTCCATAGTAAGGAAAGTAGCTATTGGCTGTCCGAAAAGTCACCAGAAGTCGCTAAATGACGTCATCGCCTAATTTGCATATCATGTAATGGCGGCTGTAGGCAAAAAACGTTCCCAACCCTTCAAGGATCAAAACTTGAAACCACCGGAGTTAAATCCAGACGACAGTAGATCAGAAATGTCTTTGCCTTTTGAGTATGTTTTGGGGTTTTAACATGACAGTTTGGCATAGAAATCCCCCTTACAATAAAGGCAGTATGCCCGTGTGTCATCTCCAATAAATGGCTTCAACCATCCTTTATACTCAAGGTTTGATTCCCACTCCTTTCTGTATTTTTGAGAATACAATTTAGACTGTGCCATGATGTTTAGCTTGTCACAGAGAGGCACACACACAGTGGACGAGGTGATTGAGTGACTGAGGCTGTGTGAGGCAAAGCAAAGCAAAGGCAGTTATGTATTATAGTGTGAAAGTGAGTGAAGAAACATTTACATTCAACATTTAAATCCCGCTCAAAACCAGGACGGCTTGGCAGTTGGCGCATGCGCAATTCATTTGCAGTCTCGACGCGGGGGAGTGTGGTTGTCTGTCTCCTCTCTGCTCTGACTGCAGCAGCAGCTCTGCTGCGGCCAGGCAACTGTCAGTCTGAGCGCCTGTGAGTACTATGGGAGGGAGGCGGGGCTCACGGCAGCACCCGCGGCTCGTTAACTGCAGAACAATGTGAGTCTCCAAACACCAGAAAAGTCGCTAATAACACCATTATAAATCGCTAGATTAGTCGTTAGTCGCTTTTGACACAAATAAGTCGCCGGAGGGTTTGGAAATCCGCCAAATTTAACGAGAAAATCGCCAAGTTGGCAACACTGGCCGGAGCGGGCGTAGTACTACGCAGGATCATATCTTTGGAACCCATTGGTCGATTTGGGTGATTGACACCTTTTCTGAACCGTTAGAGCCAATAGAATCGAGTGACAGTTAGTAAGTCCCGCTAAACACTTACGTCAAGTAGAGAGAGGTTCGCGTAAACAGCACGTGAGACAGCATTAGCTCGGGACTGCGAAACGTTATACCTACTCTGCTGTCATGAATGTAATGATAGATTATCAGGAACAATTCTAAAGTGACTAATAGACATTGGATTAACCTTAAACAGCGTTTTTATTCCCTTGAACACGAGCTTTGATCACAAAACAGCAACGGTAAGACATAATTATTGTTATGGTTTTGAAAACTGTTGTTTTTTTTCTTCTCTGTTCTGGCTGATATCTCAGTGAGTTTGTGTCCTACAGTGATGATACTTATAATAAAATAATCTGTGGAGTATCAGCTTTCAGGTGATATGTAGTTTGTGCAGAAAATATTAAGTTTTAAAGATCGTTTTTGCTAGTTAGCACCGGAAGTAGCATCTGCCCGTTTTAGCTAAGGGCTAATGCTAACGTGAGACTTGTGTTTTGTTTCGGTAAAAATGGTTCGTATAGTCAGTTAGCTGAGATTCTTCTCGTTAATCTGGTATAACACATTAATAGGTTTTTAAATATTAAGATGCCCTGAGACACAGTGTCGTGAAAAAAAAAAACAGGGTCCCCGCCTTCGGGCTTAACAGGTTAATGGTGAAGCGGGTACAATGCCCAGCAGGAGCCGGGGTTATCGATAGCCTCCCGGGCGTGTTCCAGCCCGAGGCAGGACGAGCAGACCTGGTGTGAGTCTGTGCCTGAAATCTTAAACCCGCAGCCGCATAGCCGAGCCTCCGAGTCCCTGACTCCTCTGGTGTGAGGGAGAGAAGGGTCCATCTTCGATCGCCGGGGTGTCGGCGTGGAGTGGACACGCTAGTAACAGGTACGTTACTGAGAAAAAAATCCAACCTTGCCGTTAGTCCGAAAGGAAAAAAGGCGACGGTGTAGATTTTATTCTTTAAAGAATATTAACTGGTGTGTTAATACCTTTTTTTTTATCTCTGTCTCCCCTGGTGTGAGAGAGAAAAGAGAACGTCCTCTTTACCGTGGTGTCGGTGTGGTGGGAAGAAAAAACTAGCAACAGGTATGTTAGCTTGAAGAAAAGAAACGGCGAGGCAGATTACAATATTAACTGGTGTGTTAATATTGCTCAGTCTTCTTGCAAAGCAAAAAAGTAACCGGCAAGCGCCCGTCGACCGAATGTTAGCTTTGGGTTGAGTCTGTGGACCGTTAAGCTAGCCCGGTTACTGATCAATCGAGATGTGCTCTGAGGCGAGAAGAGGTGTTCGAATGACGCTGCGTCGTAGCGCAAGCTACTTAAAGGGTGGGTGGATTCCCTGACGTTGACGTTAAGATCACCAGCCAATTAGGATTGGCGTAATGAGATTGATGCTTCTGTTTGCAGAGGCGCATCCCATATGCGACTTTCACACCAGCGCTTTTCCCTTTCTAGCTCCGAGCTAGATCTTTTCTGGTTCAGCTCCGGTTTCCCTTTTCTGCTCCCGCTCTGTTCACACCGCCCAGCACCCGACTGGTGCTGCCGCTGCTGCGTCATGACGTCACCGTTTACATCGCTGATTTGCTCCCCAACGGCATTACGGCGCTCACAACAACGGGGAACTGCGTCGGGTCGATGATCGTGTTGCTTTTAAATCACACGAAGCCAGAATACATTGAATAACGACTTCTCCAACCTTATACTTTGCTCCAGAGTGCCGTGGTTCATTGTTTATTAATGTGTTTCTGCAGCATTTACCGACCGCTGCAGTGTTGGCTGCTCTTCCACGGGAGTTTATTCTCCTCCGTTAGCTCCCGGTTAGCTCACACTGCAGCGGCCGCTCTAAAGTATTCACTGTCCGACTCACACAAGCAGCTGATACATATCCCCAGTTCCCCTTAGCCTAGTGAATGTGTGTCAGTCTGAATTGACGCTGTTTGGTATCACAACGCTGTTATGAAAGTTTCTCTGGTATAAAATGGGTGATGTTAGAATAGCAACCGAAGCTAAACTGACTACTTGCTATTGCTATCCTATTGTGGCATAAACCGTTTTCTACAGGCACATTTTACCGGCGTATTTTTATTATGATTCTACTTGTGATAGTCGGACACGACAACCTGTGCAGCCCATGTATTGATTCCATCCGATAGCTGCTATAATACAAAACAAAACGTCTGCCTCTCTCCACAATGATCAATAACAGTGAACGGATGGTCAAAGTAAGGTACAAATAAACAGAATCACACGAAGCCTGGTTAGTGTTGCCTGACTTTATAAAGTGTGTTTATAAGCACTACTGCTTGTAGGCAGGCATGACAGTCGACCCATGTTCAGGGGAGGTGGGTTTAGTTTCCTGCACGCCTCGACGTAAGAGAGACGTAAGCGACGCCACCTCTTAGCTCCGAAGCTCTTGCCTCTAGACCGACAATTTTTTGGAGCTGGAAGTGAACCGGATTCCGGAGCTAAGAGCCGGCGCCGCTGCGGTGTGAACAGGAAAAACCGGCGCTTTTCAGGCTCCAGCTCCGAGCCGGAGCTGAAAAAGCGCTGGTGTGAAAGGGGCAATAGTGAGACATCGAACGGAGTGTTATGAATGAGAACTCTAATCTTTGGAGTAGTATGTTATGGTCAATAGTGTAAAAGGCAGCACTCAGATCTAACAGAACCAGGATAGAGGCAAGTCCATTATCAGATGCACAAAGCAGGCTTTTTGTGTATATGATCCCTGTGGTGAAACACCTGAATACCCGAGGTCTGTCGAATCTGCTCATTTAAATCAGGGATAACAACAATATTGTGATTTTGTTGTTGTTATTGTTACTGCAGCTTTCTTGTGTGTTTGATGTGATTTATCTATTAAAGCCACTGTAAAGCACATCATATTTCTGAATAGTGCTCTATGTATAAAATTGCCTTGCCTCAGAAGCTCATTCAGCTACATTTCATTTGTTTACATAACTAGATGTATTTATTTATTAATTTAATATATTCAATTATTTATTTCTCCTACCCTTGTGAGAGCCAGATGCATCTCTAACTCAGCTATTCTCTTGCCGATGCAGCTCCTGATGCCGTAGCCAAAGGGAATTGAGCCAAAGTTGTCCACTCGATCTGTGGAATCTTTCCGTATCCAGCGAGACGGCTGGAAGTTTAGAGAATCGTGGAAGTTCTCTTCATCGAAAGACGTGGAGTAGTGACAAAGGGCCAGCTGAGTCTAGTGAAATGAGCAGACAACAAAATGTCAGTTATGTAAGGAAACTGCTGGGCTATTGTACATGCATGTGTATGAGACCAAGGAACAGAAAGGTGTATGAGCAATGCTGGATCGTGTTACATCTGGTTCCCCTGACATGTTTTTGTTGGCTAACTTTCATGGTGACGCTTTTTCTTCAGCACATACACATTACACACATGAGGAATCACATCTATTCTTTCTTTCAGTCTTACCCCTTTGGGGATGAAGTATCCGCCCACCACCAAATCATCCTGGGTAATCCGTCCGTTGCCAGGGAGAACTGGAAAAAGCCTGCTCCCAGGGAGGGGTGCAACACAGGGGGAAATTAAATCTACTCGTGAAAATATTTAACAAAGTCAAGCCCTAATTTATAAAGTCTATTAAACCATTGCTCTGTTGTTTTCACTCACTGCAAGTTATAGCAAACCAAAAGCGAAACCTAAGACTTTGTCAATAAGAAAAAAGCTTAATAATTCAAAACCAACGCAGTGTGTACCTGAGTGTCTCTTTGACCAGCCCTCTGATAAGAGGCAGGCGAGAGACATCGTCTGCTGTGGCCACTGCTCCCGGTCCAAGAGTTTTGGTCACTTCGGTGTAGATTTGCTGCTGTATATGTGGGTGCCGCGCTAAAAGGTAGCTGGCCCATGAAAGGGTGAAGGATGTCTGTGAAAAACAAAAGTGTATTTTGAATATTTCTCTCAACATTCCTTTTTTAATTTGTAGTATATTGTAACAGAAAATAGGCCCCAGTTCCTTTTTACCACTCTTAATTGTCTTTTAAATCCCTGTAACTCTCCCTGTGTTGTGCCATCACCTACTCTATGTGAAAAGTTCCTTTCAGTTTTTTAATGATAAAGTCTTGGCCATCAGATCTTCACCTCCTCCTCTCACCTTAGACCCAGCTGTGTCTCCTGTGTGCTCAGCTGTCTTCGAGCAGTTTGACCTGGTTTCACTGCCCGAGTTATCTGATGTGGTTAAAAAATTGAAACCTTCACAATACCCCTTAGACAGTATTCCTCCGAGACTACTGAAAGACATTTTACTACTATTGGGTCATATATTTTAACTTTGATAAATATCTCTCTGACCTCAGGCTGCGTTCCAACCTTTTTTAAACACGCTGTAGTGCAGCCTCTTATCAAAAAACAGAACCTATTTCTAAGCTTCCCTTCCTGTCTAAAGTCCTAGAGAAGGTTGTGTTAGCGCAACTGCAGTCACACCTTGTTTTAAACTGCATATCAGAGAAGTTTCAGTCTGGTTTCTAAGAGTTTTGAATGATCTTCTTTTAACTGCTGATTCTGGGAATTCTGCTGTGCTTGTGCTTTTAGATTTGTCTGCTGCTTTTGACACCATTGACCACCAAATTATTTTATCACGCCTTGAACTGTGTGTTGGAATTAAAGGTAATGTCCTAAAATGGTTTAAATCCTATCTGTCAGAAAGGACCATCTTGGCCAGTATTCTTCAGCTGCTCCACTAGTATGGGGTCCCTCAAGGTTCTATCCTAGGCCCCATTTTGTTCAGTCTGTATTTACTACCTCTGGGGTCAATTTTTAAAAAGCATAACATTTCTTACCATTGCTTTGCAGATGATTTGCAGGTATACCTGCCTATAAAAGCAAATAAGGAATCTAGGATTGCCTTGCTTAGCTGTCTGAAAGACATAAAATCATGGATGGAAATCAACTTCTTGACTCTCAACTAAAACAAGACAGAGATTTTAATATTTGGACAGTCTGAACTCCTGGATGGCTTTAATAGTGTACTCGGCCCATTAGCCTCCTACAGCCGTCCCTCTGTCAGAAATCTTGGAGTCATCTTTGACAACTGTTTTAAATTCGACAAACAAATAAGCTCAGTTGTCAAGACAAGCTTCTTCCAGCTGCGGCTTCTGGGGAAGGTAAAAGCCTATCTTCCTAGTAAGGAATTTGAACAGCTAATCCACCTATTTATAACGTCTCGTTTAGACTATTGTAACTCCCTGTATATTGGTGTTGATAAGTGTTTGATCCGTCGCCTGCAGCTGGTCCAAAATGCGGCTGCACGCCTTCTTACTGGGAAGAGACGTTATGACCACATCACACCCGTTTTGGCAGACCTTCATTGGCTTCCTGTCAGTTACAGGATCCAGTTCAAGTACTTACTTGTTGTTTTTAAATCATTGCATGGACTGGCACCACATTACCTGTCTGAGTTGTTGCACCGCCATGCTCCAGCTTGAGCATTGCGATCAGCTCAGCAAAATATGTTGGTGGTTCCTCGGTGCAGGAAAAAAACCTGAGGTGACAGGGCTTTCAGTGTTGCAGCTCCCAGACTGTGGAACAGCCTCCCAGTACATATCTGGACTGCTGAGTCTATTGAACTTTTTAAATCTCAGCTAAAAACTCACCTCTTTGCACTGGCTTTTAATACTAGTTGAACATTACATTTGTATGTGTTTTCTTTTTATATGTTTCTAGTTATTGTGCTTTTTAATGTTTTTAATTATTGTTTTATTATTGTACTCCCATTGTGTTATTTAATATTGTAGTTATTGCCTGTACAGCACTTTGGTCAACTGAAGGTTGTTTTAAATGTGCTATATAAATAAATAAAGATTGAGATTGAGATATTGTTCATTTGTTCTTAATTGAAATCTCTTTGGAAAATGTATGCCGATATTTTTCTTGATACTTTTGCAATACACGATGATAAAGAGTTAGGATGTTGTATCTGTATGTGCATGTGTGCACTTGAAAAAACCATAACGGTGTGTATTTGTATGTCCCTATATTAGAAGCATCTTCATGTATACAAAAATTAGAGTGGAAAAACTGAATTTCAAAAAATCTTCTTATGCCAGCTTCTTGAGACCAGCTTTCACACCCAGACGCTTATCCCTACTGATTGCCTTACTCGCCCTTTTCAGCCAAATCCTATACACTTAATAGCATTACAGTGAGTAGATTACCTCAAATAATATAAGGATACCGCAGATTTAAAATAATCCTGATTAATTAGAGAAACAAAGGTATTAATCCAATTACATTTAACTTGAATTCTCAAACTCTGACACGCTATTGCCCAATCTCACAGATTGGTAGTGCCCTGCCAACTTCTATTATATATCTTCTGTTCTCAACTCTGCCAAACTGTTATTTTTTCAAATCTCACAGACATCTTAATTTCAATAACGTAGGCAGATAGGTCAATTATAGTGCGTTATATTTTCTTTTATGAAATCTTATCTTTACTCACTGTGCTGTTAGCTTGTTGCCCTAGCCTACTATTGACTTAATTTCTTGATATCCTGCCCATCTTTTCATCTGGCCTCTTTACTTTTCCAACCATGCATTTTATGACATGGATTGGTAGAAGACGAGTAGACTAATGATCAAAATAGTCTCTTTCACTGTATCACAGGTCTTATCATCCTTCTCACTGTTGTGTCTCCCACCTCCCTCTCCCCCCTACTCTAATCTAATCAGACAGGGACAGACACTTGTTGACACCTCAGACAAAGCTGGACAGGAATCATATGACAAAAGCTCATCATGTAACAGCTCAGAAAGGCCTGGACCTCTCCCCTTAAATCTCTCACATCTTTTTTTCAATTTAAAACACCAATGATTCGTCTTAAGCCCCCCGATGACGTTAGTCCCAAACTTTTTTCCTGTTTCTTGAAAGATTCCCTTTTCCTCAAGCTCTTTATTGTCCCCCTCATCGCACCTCTGGTCAGTCTGTGCTATAATTCTGTCTGTGGCTAACATGTCTTGACAGCTCTCTTGTGTGCCGAGTAAGGGTAATACACCATGGGGTCAGGTAATGGCTTAGTTAAGCCCACCCCCTACCGGGACTTGGCCGTTGCAACAAGTTAAACAAAAACACACACCCATTTATCCTGTGGCCCCCAGCTCAGAACAAAAGAGTCTGCTCTCATAATTATCATTAACCTGACAGTACCCCCAACAAATTAGGTAGGAACAGTGCAAATGTGCACACAGTATACACAGATACACAAGCACCTAAAAAGAAATGCACTTCATTGACAATAGACCTACAGTCCTAACAACTTACAGTACAATATCTATTTAATTTAGAAGCACATGAACGCTCAGCACAGCTGTCTGGTGGAGGAGAATAAAAGAGACAAAAGCCCCCCTGTGTAGATATAACAGACAATGACATATGAAAATAAACTAAAGCTGAGTGAGAACAAGTTTGTCAGAGGGATACTATGTAACCTCCGATTCACTGTTCTGACCTGACGCTGGCACAGCTACACAGGAATGGATGTGGCGCCAGAAACCTAACCCTTGAAACCCAAGACACACACACACACACACACACACACACACACACACACACACACACACACACACACACACACACACACACACACACACACACACACACACACACACACACACACACACACACACACACACACACACACACACACACACACACACACACACACACACACACACACACACACACACACACACACACACACACACACACACACACACACACACACACACACACACACACACACACACACACCACACACACACACACACACACACACACACACACACACACACCACACACACACACACACACACACACACACACACACACACACACACACACACACACACACACACACACACACACACACACACACACACACACACACACACACACACACACAGGGATTACACAAAACACACACCGTGTCGACCCCAGCCAGCAGCATCTCCGTTAAATTGGCGTAGATCTCCTCCAAGTTCATTTCCCTGGTAACGAGCATGTGTGTGAGCATCCCCCCCTTCACCTCCTCTCCCCGCTCCACTTTGGCCTTAATCTCCGAAAGTCTCTTATCGACGTGAATCTGACCTTGAATTAGAAAGCAACAAAGAAGGTAGGATGAATGGAAAGGGAGGAAGTAGGGGGAGTTGAAGGAGGGTAGCGAGGGAATTGAAAAAAATGAACAGGTTATGCAACTGTGGGACCCCATACTCACACTACCCCATGGCAGAGCATTGAGATTTATATGCAAATCAACATTCCTTTCTATTGATGCAAGGCTCTTATACAAAAAGTAGGGTTTTCGGTTTAAGGAGTACAGCTGGCAAAACATTATCCAACATGTTTACCAAAATAGTAGTAGTAGTAGTAGTAGTAGTAGTAGTAGTAGTAGTAGTAGTAGTAGTAGTAGTAGTAGTAGTAGTAGTAGTAGTAGTAGTAGTAGTAGTAGTAGTAGTAGTAGTAGTAGTAGTAGTAGTAGTAGTAGTAGTAGTAGTAGTAGTAATCATTACAAGCATGTTTCCAAGTGGAGGATTTGAAAACAGTTGTAAATGTATCCTGTTGTTCTGGAAAAGCTTGGTAAACAAATCCTGGTGATGTTTTCAAGGGTTATCTTTGCAACAAATTCTTATTGGAAGCGGAGAACAGAATTGCAGTAAAACCTGTTGAATGAGAAAGCACTGTTGCTACTGCAGGCAGATGGTTTGCTAAAACTAACATGTATACCAAACAGTGTTAAAGTAGCTGTCATGTAAAATTCTCACTGAATTTGAAGAGGCCATCCCAGGAGCAACAGAACTCGTCCCAGGGTTTGGGGAAGACAGGTCGCAGCCACTTGGGGATCGCCCCTGCATACATGGTCGTCTTGAAGGAGCTGAACATGAGGTGCAGCGCTCCGATGTAGTCTTGGGTTTCCTGGGGAATTTCATTTTCCAAACAGCCCAGTCGGGACTCGTACAATATGACTGCCACACCTTTAAAGACAAAAAAAGGGATAGGAGGATTAATCTTTTTGGTGCAGTTGGAAAGCTGCAACAAGAATTCCTTACTCCTCACTTGTTTCTATGTTAAAGTGTAACTCGAATGTAACACAGGTGCATCATCATTTCATCATTTTTAAATCCATTCAATTCATTCACACAACCTCTGTTGCATCTCTACCAACCTTCCATGGCATATTTGAAGAACAGGTCATTGACATTAAGGACAGTTGCTCCGTCAGACTCCTGGGTGCGCAAAATACGAACTCTATTGATAAGGTCATCGACCACTTCGTTTACATCGTCAGAGAACAATGCTACGTCACGGGGCCGCATGACGAGCTGCCTGAGCACGCTCCGCATCTTCAGCCAGTCTTCTCCCTCCCTGGAGAACACCACACAAGAGACACAAGCAGGACATGTTGGCATTGTTTAATGTAATGCAAGGCATTTCTGGACAACCTTGTTGTTTTATTAATGACAAATTACATTTTGTATTGTTTATTTCTAGTCTTTTAATTTCTCTTTTGATGCTGCTGCAACGCAAACTTTTCCCAAATTGGGATCAATAAAGTACTTCTTATCTTATCTTATATATAAAAAGAAACAAATACATTTTTTTAGGATTTGAGCTGTTGTGAAATTGCATTTTCTGTAAATCGCTTTGGACAAAAGTGTTAGCGAAATTAAATGTATTTTAGTGTGATGCTGGTGAAGCTGTTGAAAAACTAAAAGTATGTATGCCAAAGTGTGCAATGTTGTGCTGTGCCCATCTACACATAATGGAAACTAAAGGGATTATCCTGCTGACCTCAAAGTAATTAACTTCAGTAGGTCTTTGTGCAGATTCAATCACTCATCTAAGTTTGAAGTGGCACTCACGCTGAAATGAGGCCAGTGGAACGGCCTCTCATGTCTCTGTACTCCTTCCAGGACTCCATGTTCGCTCTCTGAGGGGCCACGCCCTCAGCCCTCAGCACTTCAGCCACCAGGTCACGGTGCGCCACCGAGACCACCAGTTGCGGCCCAAAACGGGACTTAAATATTTTTCCAAACTTCTTACTGTGCTCCATCTATAAAGCAAGAGTCACACATAACAATACATATTCACATTCAGACTGACATATTCTTTATGAAATAAAAATGTAATGTAATTTGCAGATATTGGCTATGAGGTTAACTGTTGTCTGTGCATTAATTGTGTGTTGAGCATCCCAATGTTAAGATTACCAGTGCTAAGTAAATATTTACAGCAATTTTAACATTTCATTTCAAACCTTTATTTATCCAGATTGTCCCTTGAGATCATAGATCTCTTTTTCAAGGGAGACCTGCAGAAAACGCGATTTATTTTAGCAAACACAACAATAGACTAGGTTCCCCAAGCCAAATGTGTAAATCATTCTGATTTCTCAGTTACAAGCCTACAACTAGCATAAATTCCCCTATGTTTATTACCTAAAATGATGAATGAAGGGGGGAAATTGTAAGCAACTTTTGCCAAAAAGAGTCACTCAATTGGCAAAACGTAAACATGAAAATCATAGCAGTTATTTGAGATTTTTGTCAAAACTATTTGGCAAATAACTTAGAAAAGTAATATCCTTTGATGCCTCATCATTCCGCATTATTTGGTGTAATTTTTGCACACTTTGTGTCAGCACTGCCTAGTTAGTATCATGGCCAAATGTGTGGTCAAATGAGTATAAGACGCTTACATTTGCCAGAAAATAGACTGTGTGTGGCTCCACCAGGCACATAGAATTACAAAGATTTGGATAACAGTGGTATTAATCCAAAGTGGATAAAATAGAAAGGGATATGGCAAATAAGATACAGTGTGGGTCATATCATCAAGTTGAGTCAAGTTTTAACACAAGATGAACAGTACTTCGTGTTAGTGATAGTAATTACTTGTCCTGATAAAGAGTACACTGCACCAAGTGTGTGACACACAGGGTAACACATACTCTTTCTGTGTGCCTGGCAAAGTTTATAACCCGAAATACTTATTATATTTATTTTTACTATTTAGTCTTCATCTTCTGCCAGAACCTTTCCCAACATAGCATAAATATCCTTTAAGAGCTGAACATTTAGATAGCTGAACGGTTTACAGGGGGAGTATGCAGATGTAGCAAGAGTGCAAACAAATTGAATTATAATAAACTTGAAGAATAAAGATAAGGATAAAAATACTTCTGATTAGTAGTGAGACTAATGAGTAAACTGGATTATAAACAGTGCAAGGCTTTGTCAGGCTCACTGAATAAGAAAGTGTTATCCTATTAAAATGTGGATAAAGTAATGGAATGCATTAGGGCAGATTTGTGTTCAATGCCATGCCAATGGGTCAAGTTTCAAAACGTGATAGATTTAGGGATTGAAGTAATGACGGATTATAGACTGTATGCCTGACAAAGCACATTCGTGTTACTGCTTAATGAGACATATAACCCCAACATTTAAAAAAATACAAATGTTTTCTCTTACCAGTAATGGTAATAATCAATATAGATTAAGATTATAAGATAATGGACTTTAATGCTATTTTATTTCTATTTCAGAAATACTTTGGACTGTTTATTTCTTGTGTCTTAAATTTCTCTTATGTACATTGCCTTGTTTTATAATGCTGCTGCAACGCAAACAATTCCCACATTGGGATCAATAAAGTACCTATCTATCTAACTATCTATCTAAGGTGGGAGGTTCTTGATGTTCGAGATATTGACTGTAGAAATGTCTGCCTTTTCTCAAATAGTATTATGGGCTGTTTCATATAAAAGGTGTATTTCTTATTGTATAGAAATTCTTCAAAGAGTAATAAATAAACAGGTTTAAAACCTTAAATTGGATTGAAAAAAACCATTACATTACTTGATGATGCAACTGTCTTTCTTTTCTTTCTTTTTTTAAAAGATTGTCTCATGTATGATTTTTAAAATGTTGCTAAATTCATATATTAATGGCACATTTTGATATTGTACCACCATGAGAATAGGACCATTAACTCTCTAGACCTGTATGGTCTTTTAAAGGCTGTAGTGGGTTCTCAGTTTAAAAGCTACAGTGGAAATCCATTGTCCCTTTGTCATACTAGCTTGTCCCAAAGGAGGCTAAACAGCGCTCCAAAGTTATATAAAGCTTATATGGGAATATTGGCAGAGGTAACTTGACTTCTCATCAACATATCTGAATCAAAATGGGTTCAAGAAATTCATAAATCATATCATTTTTTTATAAAAACTGGACCTTGCTGTATACAATGAGTGTGAGCTCTAGGATAACAGCCTTGTGAAACTTTACAACCACAAATAAATGGTTGAGGGCTTTCAGGGGATGTATGGCAATCAACAAATGAACTTCTTGCAAAATGCTCCAAATGTCATAGGTAATTTTAATGCTTAAATTGTAGTTTGTGTGTGTAATTGTGCAACTGTTTTCTTTTTGGAATCTTTTTTTTCATATTGTAATTGAGATAACATGTTTTGTATTTTTCAATGAAACACAAAGAAATGATTTTATATGTAAAAAAAATAATAATCAAAACAAAATGCACAAAGAGAGGAATGGGTTGTGGACACCATTACCTGTATTTCGTGAATTCTGCTGAACCCGTCTCTCCAGAAGAACTCTACCAGGTTGGAGAGGGTGCTGGGTCCAGGCATCTCCTCCAGGCTCAGGATTCTGGGCTTCTCGCTGACAGCCGCCGATGAGATAACACTTTCCGGCATGGCTCCTTCCCCAGCCGCGGAGATCCCAAAAGCATCGCTGGCTGCAGACTTATGCAAGGCGCGGAAAATGAAGAAGAGCTGCTTCTTTAGCCGGTCGTTCTGAACTTTCTTCCAGCATGCTGTCGTTAAATGATTCAGCATTGCCATTATTTGGATACTCCGTGCACACAAAAAAGATGTATGATTGAGTCTTTTTGCAAAGTATTTAAACTGCCGAATTGATATCTGCAGATGAGCCTGGCACATTAAGACACCGTCCCCACAGTGAGGAAATGTGATATAACATGGGATGTATTAGGAGACCCTTTTAAAGAGTTGCTTGTATAACGTACACTCAGGAGCAGATCCGGAAAAGAGGATTGGACGTTCTTTTCAAAAGAAGGGAGGGATAAGTCTGTTTTCGGTTGTGGGCGTTTCCACCAACTGCTGTTGCGTTTCACTTTTTCATTGGGAAATTCGAGCACGTGCCAAAAGAAGCTTACATAACGTCAATCAACCAGCCTGTGTGCAAAGCCAATACTATGGAGCTAATTTCCTGCCATAACTCCACAAACAAACTAAACATGTTTTGCAAAATAATGCCTCATGATTCACTAACAAACACAATGTGGTGTGCAAATACAAAACACCATCTACAAACTAATGCATTTAGTTTTGCAAAGAAAAAACGTATATATCAAACAAACACATAGGCCTACCATTTTTCTAATAAATCAAGTACACAAAAATTGTTTACAACTACAACACTCTTTTTTACAAGTAAAAAACGTATATTCCGCAGGGGCCGGCGCATGCTCCACGGCAGCAGGGGCGCTACTGAGTCCATTGGGAAGGCGGGAGGTTGAGAAGAGCATGGAACAGCCCTTGCCAGCCTGATGACAGCGGTGTTTCTAGCGATCCAGCGATCTGGGTCAGTGTTTGAACCATGGTTTGAACAATAAGAACTGGATGACAAAATGGCCCAACTTTTGAGAGAGTGAAACGTCACAGATTACCCAGCATGCCTGAGAAGTACCCGTATATGCGCTCATAGAGCATGCGCAACTTTAACCAGGCTCGTTCACATCAAGCACGTCAATTTACTATGGAACGCCCTGTATGGAACGCCCTTTGCGCCACAATTTGCACGTTTATTCGCACGTAGTTTCGCGCGGATTAACGGGGAGGTCCGTTTATTCGCGCGAAACTACGCGCGAATAAACGGGGAGGTCCGTTTTATAAACGGGGAGGTCCGTTTAAGTTCAAAGTCTCAGTAACCAATCAGTGAAGAGCAAAACCAGACCAAAGCAATCTGTAGATGAAAAGTTCCTGACATTGTGAGGCTGTAAATTGTACGTTATTCCAGATTCAGGGGACTATGTATTAATTTGGCTTTCAATATAATAAATATATCAATCAATATAACCTGCCTTCATTGTCTTTTAAAATAAAATCGCCTTACCTTATTTTACTGAAGTGAAGGGTATTTATGTCTCCTTAAATCACCTTTTAAATGTACTTCTTATAACATGGCATGGTGTAACATATCAAAATGTTCAGTCTCTGGTCTTGCTAGAAATGCAATGTCACTCACCTTAGAGCACTGTCTTATGCAACACACTCTCACTCCCTAAGCGTCCAGGAGCGACGTTTGGTCAGTGTCCGTGGCGTCCAGTTGTGACGCTCCTAGGCTCCTTCAGCGTCATAAAGGGACGCAAATAGCTTTCAACTGATTGCAATGTATTCCCATCTGCGGCGGGATTTGACACTCATGGAAGCACGGCATTCGTTTGTGTCGGCTGCCCTTAAAGGCAATGTGAGCGTCCATTCCCATTGGATAACGGAGAATTGTACACCCGGAAGTAAGTATTCCTCTTACTGTCGATTGATTTTACAGTGATATCTGCACTACTCATCGACTAAAAAACACCAGATTATCCTTGTTAATTACACAACATTGATTGGTTTAAATTGTGTGCAATGCTTTTGTATTTTTCCCCTTCGATTCGGAGAAACAAATATTTTTTCGGAGTAAAGGATGGCAGAAGACACTACACTACCCAGAATCCCCAGCTATCGTTTGGACTACACCATGTGCTCTGTTTGACAAACCCCGTTTTTTTTCACCATTCATTCCAATGGCTGGCGTTTATGTCACGTGATCTTCAAATTTCTCCCTGCAGAAAAAGAAAACATGGCCGAACTTCGTTTTATTCTCGGTGGAAAATGCCTATTTTAAAGTTAGTTTGGCCATTAAAATGCGTTTTGATGTCATTTGATGCGAGAAATATGAGTTGTTATTTCAGATTATTTGTGCAGTGGATGTACATGATCTTTAGTTTGCTAGTTATTACGAAGATTACTTCAGGAAATCGCGACGTTTTCATTGTTACCAAGGTGGTTGCTAGGGACGCTGCTATCGATACTATTTCTGTTATGTTGTGTAACTGTTTAATGGTGTTATCTTTATTGCTACCCCCTTCCCCGTCAATGTATAGTGTTGGTCCACAGCGCAAACATATTAGTTTAACAAAATCCGCATCTAAAGATAGCCTACGTTATTTTTCCCCTGTGCAATTCCAGTCTCACAGCACATCGTCATTAACAAATACCGGAAACAGACCGAAAACATTTAAAAAAAATTAAAAATACTTTATTCCGAGTGTGCTTGCTTTTCTCTTTGAAACTCATCACATAAGGGCATTGTAATACACGGTTCGGCTGCATTAAATATTACATATCTGCCATAGTTCTGTATTTATAGAGCCCTGATGAGAAGACTTCTAGACAAACATGAGGAACTGAAAACGTGAATATATCAGCCATTAAACAACATCTTACATTTATTTTTCACACAATACGTCTCCTTGCAGTATCAACACTAATTCGGCTGACTTTTATATTTGATCCAATTGGTAGATAGGCTGTATTTACACCATAAAGGTGCACAGCTGATATAAAGGGACACCTAGTGGTTAAAGCATGTTATTGAATTTCATTATTTTTATTATTAGATATTAATAGGATCCCTATAAAGTATATTCATTACTCGTTATTCTCTACTAATAGTTAATTAAAGACTGTATATAATAACTATTTTGCACATCCCTTTCAAGATTTCAAGATTTTCTAAGGTTTATTGACATATCATATAGGCCTACACAACTATGGTGTAGTTCTGCATTGAATGAAAAACTTGGGTCGCAGGTTCCTCAATAGTGCATTACAAGACATCTATCAATATTTGTGCATACCTCCAGCAATGTAAACTATGTTGAAGCACTTATTTTAACTGATATTATACATAATGTATTATACTCTTATAAGATGTATGTAGATATTTCATCTCCGGCCTTGTCAGGTATTGAACAATCAATAAATAAAGCACACAGAATTGTTAAATATAAAACACAGAATTTGTGTGATTATACTAAATGATTTACAAATAAACACCACTGCATATTTACAACTGTTACACATGCTGATGTAACGCAAATGTTCCAACTTGGGATCAATAAAGTATATCTTATCTTAAGCTGATCGATGGCTACATGCCATATTTGCAAAATGTGCCTCTGAACCTTGACAAGTGCATGTTTCAGGCTTATCAATTAATGTAATGTTATCAATTAACAACAGGGGTCACAAACATAAGACCAGCTGTTAAATAAAGCTCTTCTGACCTTAGCTGGCATGTGTGTATATATATTAATGCTGCCCATTATGGGCACAAGCAATTTTCACCCATTTATTAATTATATGTTTTAAATTTGAGTGTTTCCTACCCCCTAAACCTCCAGGGATGTACACAGTTTAATACTGGCAACTTCTTATTATGGGAAATACGAAAACGTCTTTTAAAACTACAACTCCCAGTAGAGACGTGCCATAGATAGAGAACATGTTGCGAAACAGAATAGCCAGCATGTGTAGTTCTGGGGACGGGGTTGGCGAGGGGGGGACGTGGTGGACCCGTTCAAATCCAGTTTTGGACAGTCTGCCGTGGTTCCATCCCATTTCAAGTGCTGTTCGAGAATCGGCATAACCCTCGGAGCACACTCTCCAATCACAGAGCTTGAGGACTATCACGGGGTTTGTCAAACAGAGCACATGGTGTAGTCCAAACGATAGCTGGGGATTCTGGGTAGTGTAGTGTCTTCTGCCATCCTTTACTCCGAAACAATATGTGTTTCACCGAATCGAAGGGGAAAAATACAAAAGCATTGCACACAATTTAAACCAATCAAGTTTGTGTAATTAACAAGGATAATCTGGTGTTTTTTAGTCGATGAGTAGTGCAGATATCACTCTAAAATCAATCAACAGTAAGAGGAATACTTACTTCCGGGTGTACAATTCTCCGTTATCCAATGGAAATGGACGCTCACATTGCCTTTAAGGGCAGCCGACACAAACGAATGCCGTGCTTCCATGAGCGTCAAATCCCGCCGCAGATGGGAATTCATTGCAATCAGTTGAAAGCTATTTGCGTCCCTTTATGACGCTGAAGGAGCCTAGGAGCGTCACAACTGGACGCCACGGACACTGACCAAACGTCGCTCCTGGACGCTTAGGGAGTGAGAAGTGTGTTGTCTTATGAGATACTTAGCTTAGAAATCAGATTTTTGGAAAACTTAAAAACTCTTGTGAAAACACAGCTGTACTCATGTCATCCATTTTTTTTGGTGTTTCAGATTTGGTTTACCAACGTTTTTGGTTCACAAAAGTAGTGAAATATATGAATTACACTATAGGCCTATATAAATGTGTTGTTCATGTCTAAAATGAAAATGTGTAAATTAGAATTTGGAGTAAAATAGTTCTATCACTCTACTTTCACCACAGAAAAGTTACATCAGGACTGATTCATGACTTCATATTCCAATACTGAGGTTCATGTGATGTGTACAAATACAAATTGAGCATTACAACTTTTTTTTTCAACCAACTATTTATGTTAACATAAGAAACTGTAAAATCTCAATATTTACAATACAGGGTTCATACACTTTTTCACCAATGATTTTAAATGACTTTTCCATGACCAAAGAAATGACTCTTTCATATTCGAAATATTGAATATGTTACAACACAGTTTGCATTTAGCACGTCTTGGGTCAATGTCTTTTGATAACCACAATTACTTATTCTTTAGAAGCCATACAGTGTTGAAACTGCACTTCCCTGGCATCTTTATATCAAATAGTAGCTCCTGTAGACTAGAGGGCATGATTGTAAACATCTCTCACCAGCAAAATACTGCCACAGTTGCCATTTTACATTTCATTATAAGATACAGTATTTATTGTCATTATAGTATTACTATTTCGGCGATTAGATAACATATAAATTATATTTGATGCAACTTTAGTTCTATTTCCATGACTTTTCCAAAACTTTGGGAAAAATATTGCATTCCATGACTTTTCCAGGTTTTTAATGACCGTACAAACCCTGACAATATCAGAACTTTCTCAACCAACTATTCATTATAAATGTAAAGACAGGGGGAGCAGTGCCATGGTCTTTGTCTTTCTTCCAAGACAGTGGGTCTGGCTGCTGTGTAGGTGGGGGTGATGGTGCATGGGCTGCTGGTGGCTGTGTCGGCGGGAGGGAGGTGTGCTAGGCGAGACTTCTTTGCTGGCTGGGTTGATCGTGATGGCTGTGGTGGAGGCTTTTGTACCGAGGTGTATCTTAATCTTGTGGCAGGCACAGATGGAGGTGGAGGCTGCTGTAGTGATGCTGGTCCTCTGGTCCTTGGTGGTGATGGCTCTGGTGTAGGCCCTTGAGCCACGGTAGATCTTGAACTGGGTGCAGGCACAGATGGAGGTTCTTGCTGCTAGGCCCAGCAGCTGTGAAATCGGAAAGAAATACAGGACAATAATTACTACTAAGTTAATTAAAATATAAAGTTCAAGTGGAATGTTTCTCCCCTCTCTCTCTCTATTTAACTATGTTACACCCACACAATGAAAGTACACTATTACTGTAATATTTACCTATCTTCAAATGGATCCTTGTTGTTGTTGCTGTATTCTCCAGGTTCTGATGCTCCATCTCCACTGCTGCTAGTGTTACAAGTCCGCTGTGCAGAGCTGCATATTGCATTCCATGACTTTTCCAGGTTTTTAAATGACCGTACGAACCCTGACAATATCAGAACTTTCTCAACCAACTATTCATTATAAATGTAAAGACAGGGGGAGCAGTGCCATGGTCTTTGTCTGTCTTCCAAGACAGTGGGTCTGGCTGCTGTGTAGGTGGGGGTGATGGTGCATGGCAGGGCTCAAGCTTAAGGACGTCCCGTCGTCGAAAAAAATGGTGTCAAGGAGGATAACAAATAATTTTGGGACGAGAGTTAAAATAAAAATACCCTGCTAACTCTACTACAAACGGCGATGAAAATGAAACCGACTGCACGTTTTGTGTAGCACACAGTTATTAAACCTCCTTGTCAACATAAACACCATGATAAACACACACGCACAAAACATTTAGAAACCCGCGAAATACACACATGTAGCTACAGCTGTGCCCGCATTCTATGTACTAAGTGTGTGTATTTCGCAGGTTGAGTGATGTACAATGGCCTCCCGTGGAGGAATTCTGAAATGTTTTACCATTACATCACAAAAACGCACAGCAGAACCAGACCCTGGAGCACCGGCCTCTTTATTTACTTACTCCTCTTCATCCCCTATGGGTAATAAGTAGGGATGCACGATAATTATCGGTCCGATATTAGGAATTATGACATCATCCCGATAAACCCGATACCAGTATTAATAGCCCCGATAATATACAATATATTTGTTTGGGTAAGAAAGAAAAAAATACTGCGGTGTGGGTGGATTGGGATGAGGGGCGCTTGTTTTTCACTCGGCTCCTCCCGTTTTGCCAGTACTGTGGTATTAGTGGTTTAGGAAGAGGGGAGTTCTTCACAAATCCAGCGCTCCCTAACTCATGCCTGGCTGTGACGTAAATGGTGTGCGGCCGTGAAGCCAGGACAGTAAACAAACATGTCGTCGGTGGTATGGGCGTTGGAGCTATGTGCAACTCACGGCATATGCTCGAACCGGAGCTGCCTGGACGCTGCAATCATGTTGCGCACTATCCGTGCTGAGTGTGCTGACTTTTCGTACAATGTCCCACTGTCTGGCTTCCAGCATAAAGTCAAGTGCTCGGCGCAGTTGTGGCGAAATGTCGCTCCTCTGTTTTCATTTACACAGCTCCTTATATCCGTTAGCGCAGCTAGCTAGCACCAGATGCTAACAACAACAATGCACGTAAGGTCTCTCTCTCGCTCGTGCCATACATACACACACCCTCCCGGTCCTCCAGATGGCCAGTGTTGAGATCTCCATATGAAGTGAATACTTAAAACGAAAGTTAATTATAAATCATATATGAAGTGAATACTTAAAACGAAAGTTAATTATAAATCATATATGATCAATCATATTCTTGTATAAACCCATAATGAGAATGCTTCTTGATGGTATTTGAATATGTATGTATGCTTACAATTTTATCTGTTGCTATTTGATAACTTGCGTTTTGAAAAGAGGGTGTTGAGAGTTTTCATAGTATGTTTAATACTTAAAACGAAAGTTAATTATAATCAAATATAATCAATTATATTCTTGTATAACCCACAATGAAAATACTTCATATTTTAGGTTTTTCTATAGTTACAGTATAAACAAAACCAAGTGGTTTGTTTAGTTGAGTGTAAGGCCTATAAGAGTTATGGGTGTCTCTGATAAGAGAGTAGGCTGTTTTTTCCCTCTCCTCTGACAGCAGTTCACAGGGAGGGGGGCTCCTGACTGAAGGAGAAAAACATTGAGGCGTCAAAAAGTTGGTTATGTCATAGACATAGAATATGTCTGTTCATGTCCTGTTTTCTACACAAACATGGGAAGGTGTGTCTTAGGCCATAGCCAATAGAAGATGTTGGTTGGGAATAGAGGAGTTGTTTGTTTTTTGGGGTTTCGATCCGGTTTTTTGAGCATACAGAGACTGGTTTTTTGAGAGAGCGCGAGAGAGAGGGGGGTTTCCCCTGGTATACTCTCTCCCGGTAGGCTTTGTCCTTCAGAGCTGGGTTAATAGCTCTCGGTAAGGTCCTCTCACACTTGGTAAATATCTCTCAAATTTCTTGGTTGTTGGCTGAGTGGAATGATTTGATGAGAGATGTGTTTGTGAATATTAGAACCGCCACCTGTGAGGACCTTCCTCCGAATTAATGCGGACAGGAATGGGTTTTTGAATGTTATTCCGCCGTCTGTGTCGGAAAAAGTGTATGAATATTAGAACCGCCACCTGTGAGGACCTTCCTCCGAATTAATGCGGATAGGAACGGGTTTTTGAATGTTATACCCGCCGTCTATGTCGGAAAAAAGGTATGAAACTGATGTGAATTGATTTGGTGAATAAAAAGTTGAACGCGCTTTTTATTGTCACCGGTCTTTTTATGAGGAAATACCTCTAAATTCTATCGGGAGAATTTTAAAATGTCACAACTGAATTGGGCAGTTGAAATTAAACATTTTGGTAATAAATGTAAGACTGTGAATTAAAGTTTCATATTTGAACATGATCACAGCACCATTTTTTTTAGTATGATTATAATGTTGTAAAGAGAGAAGGTAAAAACCCTGTATTAAGTTTGGACCTATTTTTCTTCAAATAAACTGATCCTACCTTTTGGACTGGGATAACTTAAAAGACACCTGTGCTCTCCTCTCCTGCTTAAAAGGTAAGACTGCACCCTGCCACTCACACTTAGGTAGGAGCACACTCCATTTACTGATATCAAAATCCTTCGGGATCCCTTAAACAGATTAAAAAAGAGTTGTCTGAATTGAAACAGCAGTTAATTGAAGCTGGTTCTTCGGGGGGTTAATAGAGGTGAGATCTTGCTGACGTTGGTGGATCTGAGCCAAGCAGTAAACTTACATAGACTCAATAACTTCGGTCAGGTCAATTAGTAGGTCAGAGTAATTTACCGGAATAAATTATCAGGACCTCGCAGACTCTAAACACCAGTCGGTGCCTGCCGGTGAGCGTGGAAGTGTGGTCTGCCACAAGCGGGCTGCAGGAGCGGGGCTGTCAGAATCAGCTTGTAGATGGTATTTTAAACTCGATGCGCTCTGAAACTACGGGGCGGCCAAGGAAAAAAAATACACATGCGTTAATCGCGTTAAAATAATTAGTGGCGTACATTTTTTTTTATTATCGGTTATCGGTATCGGTCTTGAGAAGCAGGAAGTTATCGGTATCAGTTTCAAAAACCAATATCGTGCATCCCTAGTAATAAGGCTGAGATGAGAACTCTCCATCGTATTTAGTCCTTAGCAATATGCTGCGCCTCTCCCCATGTAGGGATGGGTACCGAGCCCCGGTATTAAATGGGCCCTGGGCCGGAATTATTAAAGACAGTGGTAACGTTAAGCTCCGACGTTTTCTGACTTTTTATCGGTACTGGAGACATTTAAAAAATATATGTCATATGTATTATTGCTACATACACATTTATATCGCAGTTTAGTTTCACCAACTCCGTTTCTAATATGCAATAAGACTACAACATGCGTCCATGATGTATTTTCGAGCTTTCCAATCCAGACGAGATCTCTCTCTCCCGTCTGTGTGCGAGGGGGCGGGGCCATTTGTAAAGGTCTCCTGACTGTGTTACAAACTGTCATCCTGGTTAGTGGTTACTCTGGGTTCTGTCTTCAGGACATTTTTTTGTTAATTGGATGGGACTTGATTGGATTCAATATTAGAGTAATTTTCTCATTTGTGTGTTTGTTTAAATATATTTGGCCTTTGTTTATGTGATTGAATGAGTTACTCAAATAAAAAGGTTGATGAATTATCATCTAATGATTTGTATGATGTTTTATTTATGTTAAAGGTCACTTTGAATGATTTTAACTAATGATAATGTAGAAAAACTAACATTTTAAATTCGGGGCGATCCACATTAATTTCGGGACGGCTTATATTGTATTTCGGGACGGTTCCAGGAGGATGGGGAAAAAAGTTAGTCGAGAGCCCTGGTGCATGGGCTGCTGGTGGCTGTGTCGGCAGGAGGGAGGTGTGCTAGGCGAGACTTCTTTGCTGGCTGGGTTGATCGTGATGGCTGTGGTGGTGGCCTTTGTACCGAGGTGTATCTTAATCTTGTGGCAGGCACAGATGGAGGTGGAGGCTGCTGTAGTGATGCTGCTCCTCTGGTCCTTGGTGGTGATGGCTCTGGTGAAGGCCCTTGAGCCACGGTAGATCTTGACCTGGGTGCAGGCACAGATGGAGGTTCTTGCTGCTAGGCCCAGGCAGCTGTGAAATCGGAAAGAAATGTAGGACAATAATTATTACTAAGTTCATTAAAATATAAAGTTCAAGTGGAATGTTTCTCAAGCACAAATAACAATGCACAACTCAAAATAAAATGGGGAGGTGGGACAGGAGTCTCTCGACCCGACTGACTGCTCCTGGTCCGCGTTCAACACGGCGTTGTGTTGTGTGGTCGAATGAATATGACTTCCTTCTTGCCAACCAGCTTTATTATATGTGCAAACAGAATATAAGGAAATGGCTTCACCAGCTTTCTACCTCAATACTTCTCCTCAGTGAGGCCTGAAGCTAACTGAGAATGTAAAAATACATTTAGCCAATCAAAATAACTGTATGTCTGACATATTTCGTTTTCTAATAAAAAATTGACATAAATACAGATGCCATATTATGACTTTCATGAAGGATTAAAGCCTTTTTCATTTACAGTATATAATACAGTGATAACAGATAACACACACAACCCGACTGTACTCACAATATTAGCATAGCATTAGCGCTTTAGCATTTAAATAATATGAACAATTATGACCTCAGACCAGCATTTCACATATTTATACAAACAGAATAAACTTGAAATGTAAGCCAGACTAGTGCACGGGACTCATACACATAGTAGAGCAACATTATTCAGGGGGAAACAGCCTGTGTTAAAGAAGCTAGTGGACGCCATTAGCCACACGCTAGTAGCGTAGCTTACAGAATGACATTACACTACACATAAAACAGTTTCAAAGACACTTCTTAGATCGAAATATGACATAATCTGTGTACACACTACTAACCTGTTGCACAGGGGAAATGAATGAAGCAGAGGGAAAGTTACTGCCATGTTCTTCTTCTTCTTCTTCTTCTTCTTCTTCTTCTTCTTCTTCTTCTTCTTCTTCTTCTTCTTCTTCTTCTTCTTCTTCTTCTTCTTCTTCTTCTTCTTCTTCTTCTTCTTCTTCTTCTTCTTCTTCTTCTTCTTCTTCTTCTTCTTCTTCTTCTTCTTCTTCTTCTTTCAGACGACGGTTGCGTTCCGATAATCCAAAAATCTGGGGCCCATTCCAATAGTCCATTTAGTTTAGGAACCTTCCTAACTCAAGTGAAATGACCCGGAAGTACGTCACTGGCAGCCATGATAAGTGCCGTTCCAATTCTCCAAATGAAAGGAAAGGAGGTTTCAAACTTCCTTTATAACCTCCTTTAGTTTAGGAACCACTGGACCTCCCTAACCGAAAGGAGAGGAGAAAATGCTGCCCCACAATGCATTGCAGCCACAGCATTTGCCGTCACTCAACAGTCGGCCGTTCACGGACACAAACGATAATGGGAGAAATTATATCATGAAAGTCAAAAATCAAAAAGAGAAATATGAACGTTAGTTTTTACTGAAATGATCAAATAAAGTC